TTTTTTTTTTGGGGGGGGGGTGCCTTGTTATAATGATAGTATGATGGGCCCCAAAACCGTATTCTAATTATTAAGGCCCCTATTTTAAGTGGCAAGTGTTCGGGCCAATCAAAGAACCAAGCCTTGACAGTCCTGGCAGCAGTTGTTTGGCTCAGCCAGTATTCCCTAGACCTTAAACCCTAAACATTAAGCCCTATACCCTGAACCCTCAACCTTAAACCCTGAACTCCCAAACCCCAAACCGCAAAAACCTGAACCCTAAGGACAAAGGTGCTTTCAATAAACACAAAGACTTAAACCCTGAACCCCAAACCGTAAACCCTAAACCCAAGGCCAGTGGTCTGCGGCCTTCGGTTTCGTAGATCGGATTGGGGGCTTTGCGTTTAGGGTTTGGGGTTTAGGGGCTTAGGGGTTTCGGGTTTAGGGTTTAAGAGTTTAGGGTTCAGGGTGTGTGTTTGGGGAAATTTGAGGGCTCCGACAAAAACCCTGTAGTGCCTATGTAAGCAAAATATTGAAGATTGAGCACTTTGTCTTATTATGTCTTGGGACTATTGAAAAAGCCTGGCCTACCCCCGAACCGTATTGTAATTACTATGGCCCCTGTGATTTTCTGAACTTGCTCCAGAACCCTCTTTTGCTTCGTGAGGCCCATCTACTTTACTTCCTTTGAGGGTCCGGGAGCAAAATGGCAATGAAAGAGGGGACATGATGGGGCTCTGCAGAAAGCTGCCGATGGTTTGAATGGCGCTGCCGCCACGGTGCCGTACAATCCTCCTGCGGGCGCCAGCATCATGTGGTTAATTCGCAGAGCATCGTCGCATCGCTCATGTGGCATCTACCTTACCCTACCCAAAACTACTTTTTCGTAGATTCTTAGTTTAAAACCCTAATGGAATTTATAGGAACCCTCCAAATAAGTAGGTTCTGGTGGGTTAAGGTAGTCCTAGGAACCCACATTGGCACAGGTGCGACGTGCCGTGTGCATCAAGCCTGGTTGCACGGAACGCCTTGCACTGTCGAGATTTTTAATGCAAAAGAACAATCTCAATCTGGACTGTTGTAAGCCCAAACCCCGACCTAAACCCTGAACAACCTCTTGGTTTCTGTTCCTTATGTGGGTTTCCTTACACGATTCTTCGCCCTAAACCCTAAACCCTAAACCCTAAACTCTAAACCCTAAACCCTAAACCCTAAACCCTAAATGGAAATGGTATCGGCTCCATGTGCAGCCTGGTGTGGCAGGTTGGGAGCACGTCTGGAAAGAGGCCGATGTCGAGAAGCCGGGTCCCTACAACGTCTTGATCTTCGAGGTTTAGGGCTTAGGGTTTAGGGTTTAGGGTCCCTACAACATCTGGATCTTCGAGATTCAGGGCTTAGGGTTTAGGGTTTAGGGATTCAGGGCTTAGGGTTTAGGGTTTAGGGTTTAGGGTTTAGGCTCCCTGCAACGTCTTGATCTTCGAGATTCAGGGTTTAGGGTTTAGGATTTAGGGTTTAGGGTTTAGGGAATTAGGGTTTAGGGTTCAGGGTTTCGGGTTTAGGGTTTAGGGTTTAGGGTCCCTTCAAGGTCTTGATCTTCGAGATTCTGGGCTTGATGAGGTTTCTAGTCCCTAAACCTTAATGTAGGGGCCTAAACACTTTCCTATACTAATTCGCGGCTCCTTATTATGATTTCTTATACTATTTTGCGGGCTTCTTATTATGACTATACTATAAGGGGCTCCAAAACCTTATTCTAGCTATTAAGGCCCCCACATGAAACCCAAGATCCGGCTTCTAGAGGTCCAAATAAGTACACTCTTTTTGCAAGGGCTAGGGTTTATGGCTTCGGGATTTAGAGTCAAGCTTTTGCGGGTTGAGGGCTGCATTTGCTTAGATGAGAAACAAGAGCGTAGTCCTATCAACAGGCTTGAAATAGACCTAAAACCCTAAACCCTAAACCCTAAACCCTAAACCCTAAACCCTAAACCTAAACCCTAAATGCCTAAAGCCCTAAAACCCATGGAAGCCCCGAATGCTGAGCCCCTGATCCTCAGCCGCCTAAGCCCATGACCCTCCCCCCACCCCCCCCGGGATCAGTTTACATCTAAGTTCATGTTTTCTCAATGTCTCATGTGTTTTCTATGTATCTCGTAGTTCGTACTAGAACACAGGCTATGTATTTGCAGTTCTTCTGTTTACGATTTGTGTTTATCTTCTACTTTTTTCCTATTGCATGCAAATCTTGCAGCTTCCAGCCCGAGAGCAAGTTCCGAAGAGGGATCCCGCTTCCGCCCTAAACCCTGAACACTAAGCCCTAAAACGTAGACCCTAAAGCGTTAAGCCCTAAACCCTAAAGCCTTAAGCCCTAAACCCTAAACCCTGAACCCCAAACCCTAAACCCCAAACCCGAAACCCTAAACAGGTATGGTCGGCTGAGCTTCCCTCAGCTAGAGGAATACCTCAGGCCGGGGGTTCTAGAAGAGCGGTGAAGGAACTCAGTTCCGTTAAGGGTTTTGGGTGAACCCGAGACCCTAAAGGGGTGAATATCGGGGCCTAGATAAAATATTCAATAATATTTTGGGCTTCTTATGATAAACACAGTATCATGGGCCCCAAAACCCCATTCTAATTCTTAAGGCCCCTACAGTATCGTTTCGGTTTTTGGGGGCTGAGGGGGGGGTGGTAGGGTCTTGGAGTCTGAGGTTTCGGGTCTTTCGAGGGTGGTTGGAGATGATGGCGCTTAGGGTTCTTAGGCCAGAGATCTTCCCTAAGCCCTGAATCCTTCGGGGTTTCGGGGTTTGGGGTTTAGGGTTTAGGGCTCCTGAAAGGGTTTAGGGTGTAGGGTTTAGGGTTTTGGGGTTTAGGGAAGTCTAGGACATTTTCAGGTGGGTAGTTACCGTTATAGGAGCCTTATGGAAGGTCTATATACCTTATGGAAGCCTTATAGAAGCCCTGTATACCTTAAACTCCCCACCTGTAGTTTCCTTTATATAACTGAACCCTAGACTCTGAAACCCGAAACCCTAACCCTTGCCCTCAAAGGACTCATATTTTAAGGCTTCTGGGCCGGAAGACACTATCATACAAGGCTTTTGGGCCATTTTGATGCTAAGGGTAAAGACAGCTTCCCTAAATTTCGAGGGTTGAGGGTTTAGGGGTTTAGGAGTTTAGGGTTTAGGGTTTAGAACCCTGAACCCTAAACCTTTGAGGCCAAAGAGCTTCCGGGTTTTGGGGTTGAAGGGCCTTTGGGTTCATGAGGCCACCGTGAGTGATGAGAATCTGGGCTGAAGGGTGCGAGGAGGGTGCAGGGTTTAGGATTTAGGGTTTAGGGTTAAGGGTGCAGGGTTTAGGATTTAGGGTTTAGGGTTAAGGGTGTAGGGTTTAGGATGTAGGGTTTAGCGTTTAAGGTTTAGGGTTAAGGGTTTAGGATTTAGGGTTTAGGGTTTAGGGTTTAGGGTTTAGGGTTTAGGATTTAGGGTTTAGGGTTTAGGGTTTAGGGTTTAGGGTTTAGGGTGCACGAACAGTCTGTCTCTGTTTCCAGGTACCTTAAACCATAAACCCAATGTCGTGATGCAAGCAAGGTCCATCGACTCACCCATTGTGTCTTATAGAGTTCGGAAAAAGCCCTGGAAGTCCAGATACCTACATGGTAGGCTACGTCCTGTTCTATCATATATAGAAGGTTTAATCCAGGAACGGTGACACATCATATTCATATAGTGACTCCCTAAACCCCAAACCCCAACCTCTGAACGCCACATTCCGAAAGCCCTGCAAGCTCAAAAGGGTAAGTGGGAGCTGGAGTTTGAACACAACGCCCGGAACACTCTCAATAATGTCCCCCTTATTGCCCCACTTATCATCACACTGCGAATATCACAAGACCTTCTAATCATTCAGGCTTCTGCATGTGCCCTATAATCCCTAAACCCTTAAGCTCAACTGAAGATACCCCAGAGATCCCTAGCAGAGCCCTTCCGATTAGCTTGAAGCCCGAAAACCTATTGATTCCTAACCCTCAACACCCCTAACCCCCAGACCCTAAACCCCTAAACCCCTAAACCATAAACCTAAACCCTAAACCCCTAAACCCCAAGCCCTAAATCACTACTTAACCCCAAGCCCTACATCCCAATCCCCCTCCCAGACCCTGGGGCAGGTCCGTGGTGAATCGCTTAGCCCGGAACTCATCAACCGCCACAATACAAGGGTTTAGGAAACTATAGGTAGGCCTTTGGGACATTTTATGTTTCCCCTTATTGGGCTTAAGGGGATCTTATTTACGAATATTGTTCAGAGGCTTTGAGGGACCAACCTAGGACTATACAGGTTATATCCGGTTACTATAACATCAGGGATGCTATGCGAGTTACACCAGGAGGATTCTGCAAGTAAGGGTTACTATATGGGTTTGTTCGCTGGTCTATGGCTTCAGATTGCAGTTTTATTGGGATTTCAGGGTCATTAATCCATCGTATCCCCGGAATGACCACCAGAATTCGTGCACTGTGGACATATAGAGTCGAGGGTTGAGGGTTTACGATCTAGG